GAGGACCATATCTGAACTGTGCGCTGATGCGCACCATGCTTGAGGACCATATCTGAACTGTGAGCTGATGCGCACCATGCTTGAGGACCATATCTAAACTGTGCGCTGATGCGCGCCATGTTTGAGGACCGTATCTGGTCTGTGCGTTGATGCGCACCATGCTTGAGGACCGTAGTTGAACTGCGCGCCATGCGCCTGTCTGAGGATCGTACCTGGACTGTACGCCCACGCACGCTGTGTCGGGGGGTAGCTTTGACCAGTGCGCCGGTGCGTATCCAAACTCTGATGATTGTGAACCAGCGAATCGATACATATTCAATCTCAGTTTCTTGCTTTGACCTGTGTGCTGGTGCGCACCCAAACTCTGAAACATTATTTTGATTGAGAGCTAGTGTGCCCATAGGCAGTCGATCTGAGAACTTTGACCAATGTCCGAGTGTCATCCGAGGACATAACTTTTGCGTCTGCGCGCCGATATGCATTGTCTGTTTAAGCCTGAACACCAAAGCTCATTGCTTGAAGACTTGGCGGTTGCTCGATTTTGAGCCAATGCTTCGGCGGGCACACACACAGTGAGGTTCAGTTGACCAATTTTTGTTTGATGGCAATAGTGGTCTGGCCCTAAGTGAAGGCCGAGAGCGGCACACCGCTGCCGTTCTCACTAGCGTCTATTCTTTAATCAACCTTTTGACTTGGCTGATCGCAGTTGTGCTCTGGCCCTAAGTGAAGGCCGAGAGCGACACACTGTTGTCGTTCTCAGTAGCGTCTATTCTTTATTCAACCTTTTGACTGCCAGATCACAACGATGCTCTGTTCCTAACTGAAGGCGGAGGGTGGCACACCGCTGCCGTTCTAATATGCATTTATTTATTCAGCCTTTGAATGGTTGATCGCGGCTGTGCTCTGGCCCTAAGTGAAGGTCAAGAGTGGCACACCGATGCTGCGTTCACTGACATTTATTTATCAACCTGTGATTGGCTGATTGCGACAGTGCTCTGGCCCTAAGTGAAGTGATACATTGCTGTCGTTCTAAGAAGTATTCATTTTTGATCGGCTGATCGCACGCACCTAAGAGCAGCGGTGCTGTGGCCCTAAGTGAAGGCCAAGAACGGCACACCGCTGACCCTCTCATTAACGAATAATTTATCCTTTTTATTGGCTGATTATGCACGCTGTGGACGGCCGTGCCTTGGCCCTGAGTGAAGGCTAAGCGGAGCACTCGGCCGCCTGGTGCAGCAAGTGATTATTGCGTGATCAACAATCTGCGGTCAGCAGCGCCTCGGCAGTAAGTGAATCCGAGTGTTGCATTGCATTCAATAACCACACATTGAGAGATTTATTTTATTACTGCAGGTTGTTTGAGTGCGCGTCCAGCCTCAAAGTGCGAGCCTGGTATCGTTATTTGAGTACACGTCCGTGCGAGCCCAAGTCTGATATTGTTTATTTGAGCGCGCGCCCATGCGCGCCCAGGCTTAGTACGACTATTTGAGTGAGCGCCCATACGCGCCCAAGCCGGGAACAACTATTTGAGTGTGCGCCCATGCGCTCCCAGGCTTGACATTGCTGTTAGAGTGTGCGCCCAAGCTTAACATCGTTGTTAGAGTGCGCGCCCATGTGCGCCCATGCTCGATACTGTCATTTGACTGCGTGCCCATGCGCACTTGCGCTGGATATTGCTATTTGAGTACACTCCCATGCGTGCCCAAGCCTGGAACTGTTATTAGAGTGCGCGTCTGTGCGCGCCCAGGCTGAATATTGTCATTTGAGTGCGCGCCCATGCGTATCCGAGCCTAGGATTGCTATTAAAGTACGTGCCCTTATGAGATGATCCAGTTGGGATGATTTGCCATCATGCTCCCGTCAATTTGTTTCGTTGTTGATCAGCACCACCCCATGCACATGATACCTTCCCGCACGGGGAGCATTTGCAGTTCAGTCCCTGCACAGACGACTTGGCTCAGTCCAACCCCAGTACTTTCAGTATTTATGACTGGTCCCTGTGCATGAGATGTTTTTGCTGATCAGATGCTGTTTAGCCGGGCCCCTTCAGGCGGGCCCATTCCCTGAGATTGTTGTTGTTCAGCCGGGCCCCTTCAGGCGGGCCCATTCCTTGAGATTGTTGTTGTTCAGCCAGGCCCCTTCAGGCGGGCCCATTCCTTGAGACTGTTGCTGTTCAGCCAGACCCCTTCAGGCGGGCCCATTCCTTAAGATTGTTGCGGTTCAGCCAGGCCCCTTCAGGCGGGTCCTCTCCTTGAGACTGTTACTGATTCAGCTGAGCCTATTCAGGCGGGTCCCTACATTGAGCTGGTGGCTGATTATTTATATTCATAGGAGCTCACTTCCCTTTTGCCCAAGCTGGCCCGCCATCGTGAGACTGCCCCTATGT